GTGGTGGTGGTGGCAGTGTACCCACTTCAGTAATATGGTCTCCATTCATATTCAGAATACCTTTTTTTCCCTCCTCCTCCCCTCTTTACACGCTCACAGAAATGTTTTTTCACTGCCATTTTGTGTGAAACTCATTTCTCAGGCAGACTGGTCGTACTCTGCCCGCCGCTTCGGGTCGCGCAGGACGCGATACGCCTCGTTCAACTTCGCCATGCGCTCCGTCGACCCACCGGCGTCTGGGTGCTCCACGAGTACAAACCTGCGGTACGCGGAGCGGATTTCGTTCACCGATTCCGTCCCACTGAGGCCGAGCGCCGCGTAGTAGCCGCGTGGGTCCTTCACCGTTCCGCCACTGCCACCGTGCGTGCCCTGCTGGAACATGTGCGTGTCCCAGTAGGACGAGCGCCGATATTCCTCGTCGATGCGGTGTGAGTCGACGCCGGGGCGGAAGCCGCTTCGGTCCGCGTCCTCGTGTTTCGAACGCATGCGCCGCCGCTGCGTGCGGTAGTAGTCGCGGCTGTGCGAGGGGAAGAACTTTGCCGCATAAAATGCAGCGTAGTACACCGGCACTGATAACAGGGAACCGAAAGCAAGTCCCGCCACCTTATTAGGCCAGAGAAGCACTGAGAGGCCCACCGCACCGACCGCAGCGAGGCGCCCAACGTACAAGGAGTTGATGAGAAAAGGCCCACTGACTGTGCCATTGGCGCCACTGACGTACAATGTGTACATCTGCCCATCATACTGTGCCTTCACCACGTAGCACGACACAAAGACGGGCGTAACGTTTTCCAATCGTATCTGCAAGTCAGTAAAATCTACTCTAATGGTTGAGGCCCCAGGGTGATACGAGCGAACCATCGCCCGCGCCGTCTCCTCCGCCTGCCGTCTCACTTCCTCATTGACGAACACGTTCAATGTATTGGTGGACTGCTCAAAGAGGTTAATGGTCGCATTCGTGGTGTCCACAAACCGCATCTTGCGCAGATGCAGCGGGTTTTCTTCGTGGCGTAACGCTGTGTGGACATGGTGTATGTTATACTTGTAACCTGCGTAAATCTGTGTCCGGTTTGACGAAAATACGCTGTTCAATGGCTGCAGTGCTGTTGTTGTTTCGCGTGTACTGCTTGTTGCCTTTCCATTTATGTCCGTTGTGTTTTCGCTATAGCTGATGATACCGCGGAAGGTACCGGTGATTGTGCCCTGACAATAGTAGAAGGGGATAAACTCGGCGGAGGCGGGGTGGAGTTGCAGGAACTCTTGCGAGGCACCGAACCAACGGCTGCCGTACTTCTGCCGCACTCGCGCAATCGCGTCGTCGGCGCCCAGCTGGAACGGCAGCCCGCGTGGGGAGTGCACCCTCACGAGGACGACAAAACTCCTGCAAAACATTTTGCCGCACCTCGCACCAACTTGTTATGCCCCCGCCGATGCCCTCCACACAATACCAAGAAGCATATCAGAAAGAAAGAAGGAAAGAGAGATTGAGCGGGTGGCAGTGAAAAAGAGAAATAAGGTAGAAGGGAAGAGAGAAGAGAACTCTCGCCTTACTATGGGCCGTTGGGTATGCCAATGAACACATTTAGGGTGCACAACACTATTCCAGCCCTGTCCGTCGAGTAAATGTCCCTATCCATTTGTTTCCTTCCATCATCCACCCTCAGTGCTGGATACGCATGGATGTGCGGAACTGCACCACTTCGATCGCCACCGCGGCAGTGTCAGCCCCGCTAGAATTGCGGCGTGACGCCCACTGGAGCTCGATAGTGGGCGTCGTAACAGTTGACACCTTATGTTGCTGTTGCTGTTGCTGCTGTTGTGTTTGCTGCTGTTGTTGTTGTGTTTGCTGCTGTTCCCGCTGGGGAGAAAGAGAACTGTCGTGGTGTTCAGCAGTTGTGCCAGGGATAGGTGGCACAGGAACAGCCGTGAAGAACATAGTAGTATCCTCCATCATGGACAGNTGCTTCCCCGTGACGAGCCACACCGCGGGGTCTGCTTTGAACGTTATTAAAAACTCCTCTTCACAGCCACAGTCATCTGGCCAGTTGTGTGCAAGCGGCTCCAGTGTGACGGAAAAGCAGACAGGCTCGCCAACAGGGAAGACAAATCCACCTGGTAGATCAATTGGTGAGGCCCCAATAGGAATTGCACCGGGGATGAAACTGTCACTGCCTCTCCTTAACACCGCCGCAGCTGTTGCCACCGCACGGACGCTCTGGTTGGCAGGATTGAGCGGGTCCACAAAGATTACGGCGTTGAAAAGGCAGGAGTGCTTCGACGTGAATGTTCCAATTGGTCCATGGAACGTGTTGCATGTGGTACGCAACAATTCCAGCTGGGCAGAGTCGTAGCGAATACGTGGTTGCTTCGTAGAATAGATCGGCTCGTCCCTCAGACTGTTGCACAGCGAGTTGCCCGGCACCAAGTGGTACGCACCGCCAGCGGTGACCTCGAAGCTGCTGTTTGCAGAACTGATAGTAGCACTGGGAGCAACACCACCACCACCACAACCACTAGAAGATGATGGAAGTGGACGGAGAATGTGGGACTCAAGCGGCTGCCGTTTCTCTGCAATAGCCCAATTGGAGTAAAGAAGCTGCAAACGCACGCGGTGACGCACCTCCTTTTCGTGTGTGCGTGGCTCAGAGGAGGGCGCCAGCTCAAAGAAGAGATGCACCGTCTCGTGCGGTTTCCATTCACGCTTCATTATGTGATCGTGTGTGGAAGAGACGCGCGCGAGCTCGTAGTAACTCTCGGATTCAAGCAGATCCAGGAGTGCACCTCGCAGCCACAGCGACGTCTTACTGAGGACGTTTTCCACCTGCACGAGGCAATAGAGGCGGCTCTGAAAGCACTTGAAGGCATAGCGAACTGAGAACGCCGGTGCGAACCGAAACGGCACAGACACACTTGTTGTACATGACTCCATGTTGCGTTGGCAGGACAACGACACCTGCGCACATTCATCAATACTCGACATGAAGATGGGCACCAACGGCAACCAGCACCGCAGGCTCGTCGCCTCCAGAAGCCCAGCGCGGCTCTCTTTAACCGACTGTTGTTGATGTTGTTGTTGCTGCTGCTGTTTCTGTGCTTCATCGTTGTCGTCAAGACATATATTGAAGCAGCACTGGAAACGTGGCAGCGGAAGAATACTTCCCTCGAGATGCATCGACACCGCGCTGTGATTAACACTCTCAGTCCTTCTGCTGCTCTCACGCACAAGAGGCGGTAGGTGTGACATGAGGAATTCCTCATCAACCGGAATCGTAGTCGACACGCCCGTCTTTTCGTCTGTAATGGAGACGAGGGTTAGTGGTAGATTCACCATGCTATCTCCAAATGCAATCGGCCCATCCGTACCGCCGACGTCGGCAATATCAGGGCGGCGGTGCGACGCGTCGTGCTGCTGCGGCATTAGCGAAGACTCCTTTATACTCTTCGATGGCATGAAAGCAATGGAGGCGCCAAAGGCGTTACCGCGCAGCAACGCCTGCCGTCTCGGACGGCTCACGTAGATGCGGGCCAGTGTGGAAGGATCCAGCAGCGGCACTACCTCCATTATCGTGTGCCGCGGATCTCGCGGCGTGGGTGCGCCCTTTACTGCCCCAACAGTAGACAACGCCGCTGCTGCAGCAGGGGAAGTAAATGGACTCCACGGGCCATCTGTTTCAAAGGTGCAGTTCTTGCAGCCTCTGGAGGTAGCGTCGGCGCCCTGTGGAAGGTAAAGCGGCCGCTCAACCTCAACGTGCACAGCAAAGAAGGCGAGAGTGTCGCCGAAGCAGTGTGGCTCCTCTGGCGGCTCCACACGCAGCTTGATGCCGATGTCCGGCTCCGGCACCGATAGGAGACACCGCGGAGCGGCCTTCACCCTACCACTAATACCAACACCAGCAGAAGCAGCAAGAAACTCGGTTCGGTTCCCGCCGGAAAGCGTAGTTGATTCGCGAGGCACGTAGACTAGCGTCGTTGCTTCTGAGAGCTGGAGTGTAATGCAGCGAAGGCGATAATCGCCAGCGCGGCACGGCTGGAACTCCCACACCCAATGCAATTCTCGCTTCGCCTCGTCATGGGAGGTGGACACCACTTTCCTCACGAGCACAACGTGCGTCGGCTCGTCCGCATCTCCCCAGTCCTTCTTAGACACAAGTGTCGCGGTGAGTGTGGCACCTGTGTCGCTCAGCCCTTCGTCCGTCTGGCGCCTCATCATGTCCACAGGAGATGTTGCGTTGAAGCACAGTAAGACTGTCTCACCAATTTTGGCACGCAGTCCTGTTGTCAATGTGTCATGAGCCTGCTCTCGCGCCCCTTCCAGAAGATGGTTGCAGTGCACGCAAAACACCTGCGTATCCTTCAACAGACCAGAGAGACTGTAGAGCGGCACATCTGTAGCTGAGCTGCAGCGGCCCAACTTGCGGTCAATTTGCTTCAATCGACACCACCACTTTACTGGTGACTGTCTCCTGCAGAGGTAGGCGAGTTCCTCCTGCTGCGCGCCACACTCGCCAAGACCGCCAATTATATGCAGCAGCGACTCCTTCAGCGCCACTGCCTCTTCATTGCTCAACAGTGCCTCTCCACTTTCCTCGCGTTGCTGCACAACGAGGTCCATCGACTCCACGTGCAGGCAGTGAATGACGGTCTGCAGCTGAAGCCAGCCATTATGGAGGAAGAAGGGAATGAGACGTTGGCGGCACAACTCCGCCGTCACGCTGGGCTCCGCATTGCGATATGAGTGCGCAAGTCTGTAGTACAGCACATGCTCCAGGTGCCTGTCATTTAACGGGCAGAAACAGAGCGCGCTCATCTCCACGAGTGTGCGGTAGAATGATACATACGCTTCCGCTGTGGCAAGCTCCGGCATGCCTAACGCAGCAGCATCCACCGATGAGGGCGTCATTGGTGCCGCTATCTTGCCGGTGTCGCAGTAACCGAGAATACCGGCGAGGTCCATGAGGTACTCCAGCGTGTCGCCGGTGAGTCTGGCGAGAAGGTCGCCCTTTCGGCAGAGCTCTCCGCCTAACACGACACCAACTGCCTGAGAAAGCACCTGTAGCCGTTCAGTGACAGCGTCGTGGCTTATTTTCTCTGTGCTGGCACCATCAATGAGAGGAAATGCGGAAAAACTGCTGGGCATATCGGGCGAGGCGGCGAAGGCACTCCAGTCCTGGTTTACCGAAGCGGACAGCGCACCCGAGAGTGTCGGACTGGACTGGCGCTGTGCTTCTGGCAGTTGGTGAAATGCGGTGGCATTTGTGTCTACCGGCCGCGGCCCAGGCGATGCCGGAAGGCTCACGCTTACACCACCACCCACGCCAGCACCGCCATTGCTACCGCTGCAGCCAGCATCTCCGACCACCCAGTTCAGCCGCAATGCGGAGAGAGCGCAGCGCAGCAGAAAGAAAAGCCCCCACGCGTCGGAAACCCTCGTCATCCCCTCCTCTGTGAAGTTCTCTCTCGCCACCTGCAGCACCGACTTGTACCGTGCAAAGGCGGTTTCACGGCGTCCAAGCAGCAGTGCACACCGCATTTCACACCCTGCAATAAAGAGCAAACCGTCTACGAGTTCAGCATCGTCCTGAAGCGCAGAGGGGTATCCATTTTTTCCAACAGGAAAAGCACTAGGGTCAAACAGGTTGGGAAGTTTTCCTAATCTCTCAAGGGATGACCTGTGCTCCGCAAAGCCGTAATCTTCCGAGTGGTAGTAGTATTGGTCAAACATCCGAGCGAACACCACCATGGCATCCTCCACCACACCAAACTGCAGGTAGTGGAAAGCTAGGTCGTACCCTTTGCGCCAGCACTCGTGCAGACGCAAGACCGCTGTTGCGGTACCGTCTGCGACACTGTTAGACACACGGCGTAGTTGCTTTTGACGGTAGTCGTCAAACACCGTTGAGAGCCGTGAGGTGCGCTCGGCGTATGCCGCCCGCAGTCGCTCTACAACTCGTATGGGTGCCTCATTTGGCAGATATGCGCACATCTGATGTGGCGCGAACTTGAGCGCCTTGAGCTCCTCATAGTACGGCTCTAACGCCGCCGCTGCTGCATCGGCCTTCTTTTGATTTGGCTTCTTTGCCGCGTCCGCGATATACACGCCTGACGCCTGCCGTGCACTGACACACGCCGCATCAACGAGATCCTGGTGGTACAGCATGACGAAGGGGCTCACCTCGTGGTTCGTGCGCTCCAGCTGGGCGCGCCACTCTCGCACAACGTGCGCCAGCAGGCGTGGCCGTGAGTATACTTGGTCGACAGCGAATATGTACACATTAAGTAACGACGAGCTGGCACCGGCATTGATGTCCATCGCCTTGCCAAACTGCAGCCGCAGACGACTGCCAGGCAGGCAGCGGTCCACTACGCGGCTGGCGTCGATACAGGGCTGGAAGTACGACTGCAGTTCGACCACGCAATGCTCAATGCTCGGCGGTGTCGTCATTTCCGCCATGTCGCGGTTGATATGACGCACGAGACACAGAACCATCGGCGGTATTAACGAAAAGCAGTGCTGCAGCGAATCGGCACCGCGGGACACGAGAGAGTTTGCGCGCTCTGGCGTTGCCATTCTAGCTGTGTCTCTCCAAGAGAGTTTACTTTATATCTTGTCTTCCTCGCTCGGATTCTTTCTTCGCCTTTTCTTTTGTTTGCTGTGTGTTCGTCTTTGTCTCCTCCGCTGCGTGCGCTGTGGACAGACTGTCTGCAGGCCTCCCAAGGCCCCTCTTCCTGCGCACCACGAGTGGAAAGATGTACAGAGAGCCACAAAGAGAGAAAGAGAGAGAGGCACTGCGGCTGCAGCGACAATCACCCTAGCCAGAACATGCGCGCACACACACACACACACACTCACTCGCCAATTTGATACGACACTTCCTGGTTACTCGAATACGTTATGCAGCACGCTGCGGGGCCATTAACGCCGCGACCCAACGAGCAGAATGCCACCACCCATTCATTTTTGGTTTGCCCCTACTTCTTCGTGACTTCTACGCATTCGTCGCGTTACACTTCCTCCTCATCGATTAGAATGGCAGATGCGGAGTCCCGTCCAGGCCGGAACGGCTCGTATTTGGACGGATCCACCAGTGCGACGGTGTTGTTTTTCTTAGCTGTAAGAAGAGCCAAGTCATCCTCGGAGTCATCCACCACGACTGGCCGCAAACGCAACGTTGCCTCCGTTCGCGTCATCTTCCGGTGCCGCCCATCACCGTTGTCCATGTCGACTTCGCCAGTGCTGTCATCCTTCGCCTTTTGCCGTTGTTGTTGTTGTTGTGGCGATGATGGTTGTAGCTGCGGCAGCAATGTCGCAGGAGCAGCCACCGCGACGGCCCCAGTCTCATCCACCGTGATGCCCATCATACGCAGCAGGTGGCGCAGCTGCGGATCGTCCCGCGAGCGGGTACGGATGATGTCGTCCACTAACGCCGTGAGTGTCTTAGCCTGCCCCGCCACATCCTGCTGGTGCTCCTCACGCTGACGCCTGCGGCGCTGCACATCCTCTTCGCCGCCCCCATCAACATTAAAGACCCCAGTCTTCTGGTACTCCTCGTAGAAGGCCCGCTCCTCGTTGCCATACGGCTCCATTTCGTCATGCTGCAGGAAGTCCGCGTGGGATTCCGCGTAGAGAATGTGACCTGCCACGTCCGCCAGCACGCTATCCTCAGCAGTGAGAAGCGCTGTAGAACGGCGTTGCGTGTCTGTCAGCATCGGCACCTCACTCGACACCGCCCGTGTGCGACTAAGGAGTTGAAACATTGACTGCAGCCGCAGGCCAGCAAGTGCGTCACGCTTCAGCGAGGCCTCCTCCACCACCGTGTGGAAGAGCCACTCCTTCGCCACCTTCTGCTCGAACATGCGGTGCTCCAGGGTGTGGTGGCACACGAGACGGTACACGAAGACCGGACGCGTCTGTCCGTAGCGGTACGCGCGGCCGATCGCCTGTCGGTCGTCGGCAGGGTTGAAGCCGCTGTCGGCGAGAATCACACGCGTAGCCGCAGTGATGGTGATGCCAACACCACCTGCCTTCATACTCAGAAGAAATACATCTGCACCGTTTGCGGAACAAAAGGCATTCAGCGTGTCCTCCCGCTCCGCACCGCTGTTGCTACCGTCCAGTCGGCAGAAGCGAATAGGACGAGACAAGGATCCTTCCATCTGCCAGCGACGGTTCATCTCGGCAATGATGCACTCGAAGAGATCGAGCAGCTTCGTTGAAAGACTGAAAAGCAACGTTTTCTCGCCCCGCAGCGTAGCTGCCTTGATTATCAACATGGCGAGGTACAACTTCGCCCCGTCCTCTGGCACCATAGTGTAATTCTCCGGGGACTCACACAGCTCCATATATCCTTTACTGTCTGCCGCGAGAAATGCCGTGCGGCGAACCGATTCGCCTTCCCCTTCATCGGAACTAGCACTGCTACTGTCGCTGCTGCCACCCAGCATATCCCTCACCGGGGAGGCGGGATTAGAAGCAAATAGCAGCTGCGGGTGAGCAGATATTTTGTTGGCATACGCCGCTGCCTGCAGAAAGTTGAATTTGGCCTGCTCTACACGCACGAGACGCAGAAACTGGTTATACAGCCGCACCTGCATCGGCGAAAGAGGGACGACGACGACATATTCATGCAATGGCGGAAGCTCATGTTGCAGTGGCGCGCTATCGACGCGCTGAACAAAGTGCCGCAGCTCTCGTATCAGCGTGAACGTCTTCATGCGTGCCGCGGCGACCTCCTTTGGTGTGGCTTTTTTGTCAACAGAGGCCTCTATGGGGTTGATAAAGAACTCCTGAAAGCGGCGCCGCTCAAAGTACTTGTGCACCGCAAAATCTACCATGGCCCAGTACTCCTGCAGGTGGTTCTGCAGCGGTGTGCCGGTGAGGAGGAGGCGCCGCAGCGGGTGCAGACCACGCAGCGCGGTGACGATCTGCAACCTCGCCGACTTAAGCCTATGCGCCTCGTCACAAATAAGCAGATCCGTCCAATCCCGCCGCACAGCCATCTCAGCGGAATTCTTTGTGAGGCCGAGAAGCATCTCGTATCCGACAAGGAGAACACCTCCTCCTTTCCGCCAGCGGCTGTACACGTCAGCGCGCCGCTTCGGGCTGTCGCGCTCATCAATTACGGCGGGCGTGACGCGCTGCGCGAGCGGGAAGTACTGCGACCACGCTGCAAACTCCCCACGCCAGCCGGACCGCGTCGACTTGGGCACAACGAGCAGCACGCGGTGCCGATGCCGCCCAGGCAGGCAGAGGTAGAGGTGCAGAAAGACGACGACCTGACAGGTCTTGCCAAGACCCATTGTGTGCGCGAGGATGCAACCGACGGCAGGAACTCGGCCAACAGGCCCCTCTGCGAGGGCACTCCATATAAAACGGATGCCTGCCAGTTGGTGCGGTCGTAGCTGACGTTCCGCCACTCCTACTGCTGCTGCTGCTGCTGCTGCCGTTGATGGCTTTTCTTCCGGCACACCAAGGACATCCGATACCGGCGGAAGCAACACTTCTGGAAACAAGACATCATCGCTCGTTGAAGTCCCGTCACCCCAATTCGAAATGTTCACTAAGCGCCGCCACCGTTCCAATACGTTCCTGTTCACCTTCCCGGCATTCTCTGTCATTGCCTCCGCAAGCTGCGAGCGGGCCTGATCAAAGCGAACCCGTGCTAGTTCATTCCGCTGGAAAAAAGGCTCCAGGACCGCCCGCACATCGGCGCACGTCATACTCCGCAGCACCGCCATGTCCACAAACTCCTCTTTCTCGGTCTGGGTACCCATCAACCGTATCCCATGCGTGCTGCCTTCCCGCAGTGCATCACCACCACTCCTACCGCTGCTAAGGGAGTCCTCGTCACTATCGTGAACCCGCACGGATGGCGGCGGCGGCGGTGGTGGTGCACGGCGGTGCACGGCCGTGTCGCCGAAGAGAACCTCTTCCATGGACAACGCCACACTGTCCGCAGCAGCAGCAGCAGCAGCAGCGACAGCAGCACGACGTGGGGCGGGAATATCTGCCGACAGGTTTCCTGGCGAGAATTGGCTCAGCAGAGTGTCATCCCCGGCCACCTCCTCGTCGCCACTGTCACTTGAGGAGAGGACAAAGAGCGCTGGATCATCCATCCGTCCTACACTTCACACAATGTAAAAAAAAAAAAACAAATAAAATAAAGCAAAACCAATCGAAAAACTCCAAATAAAAGCAAGGAATCATGCTCTCTCCAGCCCAAGCAATTTGTTACGTGAGCATGTATATAAGCTCCTTCCCCTCACCAGGCGATGGTCAGGCCGTATGCCACAATGTGCTGACACCTCGCCAGGCTCCCGGTGGCGGTTTCTTCTTCAGCGTCCTCATAAAACGGCTGAGGGGAAGCGATGCCACTTCTCGTTGCAGCAGCAGCAGAGTTAGTCCTGCGCCACACTGGCAGCATTGTCAGCACCTCCACAATGAAACCAACCATCACATCCCCCGCATCGCCACAGCTGCTGCCACTGCCGTGGCGGTGGAGCGTGACACCAAACTCCACCCCCGCCGAGCCACTGCCGCTACTGCTGCGGGGCGGAATCGTCACAAACGCATCGGCGCCTGCGCCTTCTGGAATGATAAGCGACGAAGTGAAGGTGCCCCCCACCTCACACGCAATCGTGAAGCGACGCACAACAAGCTGCTCGTCGCCAAAATTGTGCAGCGTGAAGTATCGCTCCGACCCGTCAGGGGCGTCACAGCGGCCGCGTTGCTGTAGCAGGACAGGAAGGTAACGTACGGCCGCCAGCGGCATGTGGAGCAACGGACGCCGTCGACGCTCCCCACCACTACGCGTGCGGAGATCCTGCGCAACGCGGTCAAATGAAGGGTCACGCTCCACACCGTTCACAACGCAAAGGGAGGAGTCACCACCACCATCACTGCTGCTGTGATTGCGTGAGCCCGATCCGCTACTCGTCTCAGTTCCAGATGAGGACGTGAGCAGCATGGCCAGTAGGGGCAGTCGTGTGTTCTGTTTGAGCAGATACGGTGCTGTCGCAGCAGCCTCTTCACTTTGACTGCTGCCGCTATTACAACTGCTTGCCATGCTGTTCCAGAATGGATGACCCATCGGCAGAAAGAAGCCATGCTGCTCCATCTGTGTTGTCTTCTTCAGCAAATCACTGTTGTATTGCAAAACCGGAACTCCATGCATTTCCTCTGCATCGGTTGCTGATGTTGCTGTGGCTGTTGCTGGTTCTGAGTGTACTATTTGGTTTGCAGCTGCCTCCTCCCCTCGCGTTATATGGAATGACAATTCCGGTGAAGCACATGACGCCTTCTCGCGTTGCTTGCGTATGAAGTCCCGCAGCTGCTCCAGCGCAATGGCAGGGTGCAGTTGCGGGCCTGATTCTGCTGTAGATTCGCTAATACTCGAGGCATGCGCTGCAATGGCCAAACGGGAGAGACTCAGTGACGCTTCTTCTTCCGCCTTAATCTTCTCCTTGGTAGAGCGCTGCCACTCGCTCACTGCGCGATGGTACGGCGCCATCAGCTGCTGCGGTGTTGAGGAGGCCAGAGCGACGATGAGGTCCTTCAACTCCTCACATGCAGCGCCATGCTGCCAGTGGCAGTAGGAGCACTGCGCCACATACTTCAGCTGACGCGTAAGCGAGATGCCCACAGCAGTAGCGTTGCAGCGCGGACAGCAGTAACAGTCGGGGCACACCGCAGGGTTGTGCCGCCGCGGCGACGAAGCGGAGGAACCTCGTGAATGGGACCGTCTTCTGTTGCTGCTGCTGTCGTTCTGGTTGTGCGCAGCCGGTGGAGCCAGCGCCTCCCTCGCGACACACTCCTCCTTTCCACATGCTCCGCAGCGCCACAGAAGCGCGAGCGGCTGCAGACGATTCTGCACGTTATGGCGCTGCAGCAAGTAGGGTGACGCCAGACGTCCCTGCGGCAGTGCATCCGCCTCAGCAACATCGGCAGCAACGGGTGGCGATGCGCCCCCACCCGCTGGTATAACGTAGCAATCCTGCAGGGCACACCGTGACGTAAAATCAATGTCTGTGAGGTGAACCGCGACGCCCATGGATGCAGTCAGACGCAAGCGCACCGATACAGTCCCCGCTCTATCCCTTCCCGCCACTTCCAGCAGAGAAACAGCACCAAAAGGGGCAGAACAAAAAAAAAGTGAGTTCTGACCGACAACTCCTCACACCACTGGGAGTGAGGAGGTGAACAAGGAGGAATCAGCGAGTTGTACAGTGTGC